TATATATTGAAAAATTTTTCTTGAAAGATATGCAAGTAAGTTCAATCCAGCCTCATAGAATGAATAGTTTCTATTTTATATAAACTGTACCAAAGCTCAGAAAAAAGTGGTGAGCTTCCCAACTATGTTTATTAGGGTAGTCTCACCAGAATATGAAAACCAACCAAAAAAGCCCATGTTAAAAAAAACAATTAAATCAAAGGTCAAATGTCACTTATGCAAACAGATGGACAACTACCTAAAATATGAGTAAATCAAATTCAGTACTCTATGGAGAATATAAATTTATAGCAAATAGCATTTACCTTTTATCTTATACTACCTTGAAATTTATTTTTTTTAGTGTACTATACTAACAGATTAAACAAGAAAACCATCTTAAAAGCAGCTGAAGAACACACTTCAAATACTTCAGCATTATTCCTGATTAAAAATTACTTGGTAAGCTAAACACAGATGGACAGGCCTCTCTGCCTTAATCAGAAAGCTTCAGCAAACATCAGGTTTAATCGTTAAATACTAGAGGACTACCCAATGAAGTTTAAAATAAAAAAGATAAGGATAAAAAACTTCTACTAACTCAACACTGTACTGAAAGACTGAACCAATGCTGTTTTTTTGCATCTTGTAATATCTATATATTTAAAAACTAGTTTTCTTATGCATAAATTTCTTCTGAAGATATTTGATGGGGAAAAGTAACATGGCTTTACTGAAAATCAAGTTCTATACAGAGAGATATACTATATTGTTATGGGAGGACTTAATATTTCAAAATAATCAAAACAACCCAAAAAATCTACCAATTAAAGCAATGCAAGAAAAAATTTTAACTATTTTTTAACAGAACGAAAGGCTAATTCTAACTTCACAGAAAAAAATGTTAAGAATTGCCACAAAAATATTATAAACGGAGAACAATGAGAAGACTTGCCCTACCAAATACATGAAAAACTACAGAAATTAAAACAACAGGGGTGATTTTAGTGCAGGAGAAATAACAAATCAAAGTAATAGAACAGAGTCAAAAGAAATTCATGTGTATATGGTAATTCAGTCTATGATATAAAGGACATTTCATTTACTTCATGGGAAAAAGACAGGCTTTTCTACAAACGGCACTGGGAAAAGTGGCTGCCCATTTGGGATAAACAAATCTGACGTCATATAAAAAAATAAATTCCTGATGACTCAGAAATAGACTCCTGCCCCTCCCAAAATTAAAATATAAAAAAGTTAAAGTATAAGAGAATATTTTCATAGTATTGGGCTGGGGAATGTATTCCCCAGCAAGAATCACAATATAGAATACATAGATTTGACTATAT